GAGACGGTCCCCAGCAGACCAGGGGCACCGGGAGCAGCTTTTCTCGCCCCGGAGGTCGAGGTGGCGGGACCGCTGCCTGCGAGCTCCGGGGCGAGAAAGCCCCGTTCGTAAGTGCGGATCCGACATAAGTCGGATCCGCATAAGTCGGGGACTGCCTGTATTAGTTGTCTAGCAGTTAGATCCCTTGTATTTCAGAAAAATATACTGAATGGATTCAAGGACAACAGGTATTTTAGTCAACACAACTTTAAAAAAAATATTAGTTTGCTATTTATTGAAGCACCATAGCTGGAAATGTTTCACAGCAAAAGGCAGCTTAGCTACCGCAAAAGAGGCACTTAGCACCTCACCATGTCAAACCCTCTTATATTATTCACAGAATTCTGGGCACTAGCCTAAAACACCCACCTTTTTAAGTTTTTTTATTGTCACCTGAAGTTCTCCAACTTCATTCTCATATTGACGCTTAAGATCATTTAGTGCCTCCTCAGCTTTCCGCTTCTCCTGTAACATTCGGTATTTTATTATAGTTAAAATGCAGACAAACATTTTCTTCAGAATCTTGGTCACCCAAGCATTAAACATTTCATTACTATAAAGTCAACAATTTTCTTTAAGTTAAAAGTGCGTATCTTTGGTTCTCTTCAATTGACTAAAATGGGCATTAACCTGAATTCTCTTATTACAGCCTTATTTATTAAATATTTGTAAAAATGAAAGTTTAGCAGATTGGAGCAATACTTCAGGTCAGTTACCAATGTTACTTAATTCAAATGTAACCCAATTTTGTGGACTCAGCTGGATTTCAGACAAGTGTGTGATTTGCACAAAGACATATATGCTCCCAGAGTCAATGATTTTTCTTCTCCCCTCAGAAAATATCACACACTGCTTCCCAAGATAAATTGATACGATAGTTTTGTAATTCATGTCATATTTCCTTTCTTCAATGTTGCCAGTGTCCACAATGAAACTGAAAAGGAGAGTGCAGATAGTATTTTTTTGAATATCAAATTTTGGAAAGTGACTACATTTTTCAAATTAGTCTTCTACTACAAATGCATACTTCAGTAGATAATGTAGTAGTAACAGCATTGTTGTATCATCCCTGGATATATATTTATAGAATTATAAAAATACATCTATCCTAGCCATTATTGGAGGGAAGAAAAGAGGAGGTATGAGTGAAAGGATGGGGATATCTTAATTGTGGGGCATCCGGGAAGGATTACTGGGGAGCTTGTTAATTGAAATCAATAAGGTTTACACAGGCTCCCAGAACTGTAGTTATGCAGGTGTACTGAGAAACATCCTCTCTGACTTAAGCACTTCAATACAGAAGGGTGGCACAAAAATCAGCACCGAGAGAAAGATTTTGAGAGAGCTGCCAGATTTTTTGGGGGGGAAAGAAAAAGGGTGGAACTTCACCCAAGGCACAATCATTTTCATAAGAGAGCCTTTGGTATGTGTGTGTTTTAATTTTAACCAATTTAGGTAATCCCTTGTCTAGCTAGTGCAGGGTTTTCCTACTGTTGACACCTGTACAGATTCCAAAGATATGACTTGCACAGTAATTGTTTGCTTGCCTGGAGGAAACATGAAGACAGGGTATGCTCACAATACATATATTATCACATGATCGAAAGTGTCACACTGGCGTTGAGTCAGCACACTATCTGAAACAATAGTGTTCACTGCAGCCATTAAGATTTATGGCTTAGAACAATCCCTCAAAATAAATATCTCGGCAGGTTACATTTGCTCTCAGGGCGTTTTGCTTTTTGAAAATATGTGGAGCTATGAACTGAAAGAAACACGTAAGGGCAACATAATTTAAAGAATGATAGGAGAAAGAAGTTACAGCCCAGCCTTAATATTGACACCTCAGTATCAAAGGTAAAATCCTCCTGGTTCGACTAGGTATGTCCACACTGCAGTTAGACACTTGTAACCAGCCTGTGTCAGTTGGTTCAGGTTCATGGGGCTTGGGCTAAGAGGCTGTTTAAATGCAGTGTAGAAATTGGGCTAAGGATGGAGCCTGTTCTTGGACCCTCTCCCCTTGAAGGATCACTTAGATCAAACATCGACACCATTGAACAGCCCCTTAGCCTGAGCCCAAATCAGGTGACATGGGCCAGCCAAAAGTTTTTAATTGCAGTGTAGATAGACCAAGTAACCCCCAGTGAGTGCTTTGCTATTAACCTGATATTTCACTCAGTGGTTCCAAAAGTGGTTCCATTAATCCACTAACCTGATATTTCACTCAGTGGTTCCAAAAGACTGTCATTAATCCATATTTTTGGCCTTGCCATTCATATTTATTAGAACACCTTAGTCCATGGCAGATTGATTTGTGTTAGGATAAAGATTGTAATCTACATTCAGAAATATGAAGCATTTGTTACCTAAGTTATAAGGAATTTTGCTGAATCAAGACAGATTGAATTCTTAATGTGCATCATGGTGTTTAAATAGATATTATGTAGCAGACTGGAAAAGTGTACAATTGCAACAGCTGCTTGTGCCTGTTCTTTGATAACTCAGATACACGTTTCCCATTCATCTGTTTATAATATAATTTGTTGGGAGTATTACATTTTATTTCTGTTATTTATTGCTGTGTGCAGAAGGAAATTCTCCCAGAAGTATTTGTTTCCTACATGTAAATGATCCATAACTTCCCAGCAGGAAATATAGTTGTGCCCATTCTCCATTTATTTTCCTGGGATTTACATTATTTGCCAAACATAACAAAATTTACTGACTTCACAACCAAAACACAACCTTTATGTGTGTGTGTTTTAACCACTCTAAGAAACTTATACACTTAAGCATTTTTATATGAATACCATTAACCTACTCATCTAGTAATCAAATAATCATTAATGATTTAAGTGGCAATGACTGTTTGACAGTTTATTATAATTGTTCTTTGGAGAAAGGGGCAGTGTCTTCCAGTATGAAGAGAAGTCCTCGTACACTGTGGAGGTTACAAAAATTGAACAAGGTAACTGAGGGCCTGGCATACTCCCTGGTTCAGAAGAGGGATGTAAGCAACTAGTACACTCACTACTGACTAGTCACTTCTTCCCCCACCTCCCTTGCTGCCTCTGATAATCGAGGCGGGAAGCAGGAACCAGTGCTGGTTAAAAGCCAAGTCCCCCCAGCACCATCTCCACAGGGGGGCAGGGGAGGCAGAGGTGCAGCAGGGGAGCAGGCGCAGGTTGGGACAGCGGAGCTGCAGGACAGGGCAGCAGGGGACAGGGCAGCTCATACTACATTTAAAACACAAAGCTGCTAGGGTCCCGGACCAGGGAGGTCCAACCTGTAGTGCTTTAACATTTCATCAGATTATACAGACAAAGATGAACATGTAGTTCACTGTCTTTTCTACTTTTCATTACATAGGTCATTTAGGGTTCTACTATACCTTCTCATAAACAATAAAGAGAAAAGGATTTTTGTAACAGTCAATCAAAGCGGCAACTGAATTAAGATAATGGGTGAAGACAGATTTTTCTTAGATAATGGGTGAAGTCTGACTTAGACAAATTGGAGGATTGGGCCACAAGAAATCTGATGAGGTTCAACAAGGACAAGTGCAGAATCCTGCACTTGGGATGGGAGAATCCCAAGTATTGTTACAGGCTGGGGACCAACTAGCTAAGTAGTTGTTCTGCAGAGAAGAACCAGGGGGTTACAGTGGATGAGAAGCTGGATATGAGTCAACAGTGTGCCCTTGTAGCCAAGAAGGCTAATGGCATATTAGGTTGCATTAAGAGGATCATTGCCAGCAGATCCAGAGATGTCATTATTCCCCTTTATTCGGCTCTGGTGAGGCCACATTTGGAGTATTGTGTCCAGTTCTGAGCCCCCCCACTACAAAAAGGATGTGGACGCATTGGAGAGGGTCCTGCGGAGGGCAGTCAAAATGATTAAGAGGCTGGAGCATATGACTTATGAGGAAAGGCTGAGGGACTTGGGTCTGTTTACTCTGCAGAAGCGAAGAGTGAGGGGGGATTTGATAGCAGCCTTCAACTTCCTGAAGGGAGGTTCCAAAGGGGATGGAGAGAGGCTGGTCTCAGTAGTGACAAATGGCAGAACAAGGAGCCATGGTCTCAAGTTGTGGTGGAAGAGGTCCAGGTTGGATATTAGGAAAAACTATTTCACTAGGAGGGTAGTGAAGCACTGGAATGGGTTACCTAGGGAAGTAGTGGAGTCTCCATCCCAAGAGGTGTTTAAGTCTCGGCGTTTAAGTCTCGGCTTGACAAAGCCCTGGCCGGGTTGATTTAGTTGGGATTGGTCCTGCCTCGAGCAGGGGGCTGGACTTGATGACCTTCTGAGGTCTCTTCCAGCTCTATGGTTCTATGATTCTGAAGAATATGGCAAAATTCCATTAACTACAATAGGGACAGTATTTCTTTTCCTCTTCTGGGAATCTCTAAAAAGTGATTGTGGAACCAGTATGCATAAATAGGGAAAGGAAAGTCTAAGCAAATTAAACAGCACAAACAATTATCAGAACATAAATCAAACTCTGTAAAGACAGGAAAATGTAGCGCACCAGTAGTACTGATTAGACCCTTTCCCCAGGGGATGTCAGCCTTCCATTCTGTGTTGCCTTCAGTGCCAATCATTTGCATTCCCCACCCAATGACATAGGAGCACCGTGTTAAGTTCCCTGTGAGCTGTGCAGCTGCTTATTTAGTGCAAAGAAAAGGTGCTCAAGGAACCTGCCCAGAGATCTGTCGCTGCTGTGGGAGAGTTGTCTCAACCCCAGTCCCAACCTAGCCCAAAGCCCCAACCTCCTATGACCAGGAGAGAGAAGGTGTGAAACTAGCGCCAACCCAAACGTGCCATGGCTGGAGTGGTCCTCCCCTGGATCCAACCCAGCCTCAGCTCAAACTAGCTAGGGCAGGAGAGGGGCACCTATCCTGTTGTCTCAGAGCTGCCATGATGGGGATAGGTGCCTTTTACCCCCAGCTTCAGTGCTGATGTGAGGGGAGAGAGCTGGGGTAGAGGAGGAGGGTCCTCTGACCTTGCAGTAGCCTCAGAGCACCCTCTTTCACCCCACATCTCTAAACCCAGTCCAAGCCTATAGTCTGCACCCCTCTAGTCAGATGCAGTAGCCTCAGAGCACCCTCTTTCACCCCACACCTCTAAACCCAGTCCAAGCCTATAGCCTGCACCCCTCTAGCCAGGGACCTCACACCTTTGCACTCCAACTCTCTGCACCAGGCCTGAGCCCCCTCCCACACTCAGAACCCCTTGAGCCCACCCCTGCCACGTGAATTTTATGTGCATCAATACAGAGGTGGTATGTTACATATCACCTGTATGCTGATGCACATAACAAAATTCATTCTGCTCAGGGGTGAGAAAAATTAAAGGGAACACTGGCACAGTGCCATGCAATTTGTTATTTCTACATAAGAAGCCAATCTGTCCAGGGAGGAAAATGAAAGAATGTTTTTCTTGACCTTTGGGAGGCTTTTCCCCCTTCCTAGGCTAAATCCAAAGCCTACTAAAGTCAATGGGAGTCTTTGCATTTACTGTTGTGGGCTCTGGATCAGTCTTAAGTACAGTAAGTCTGGAGAATTATTTAGCCCTCAATCCTTCCTTAAAGTCCATGGGGGTTTTGTCCAAGTAAATACTTTTGTTAGGCTCAGCAAATCTAAATGAAGATGCAGCCTCCCCACCACCACTTCTGTGGGGGAAATGGATGATTTTTAGAACACTCATGATACAAACCATCCCTTAAGGATCACATTCCTCATCAGCCTCAAATGCATGCTTTTAAAAGAAAGGATAATTTAATTCAGTGCAGGAGGCTGGACTAGATGACCTTTTGTGGTCCCCTGAAGTCCTTCATTTCTCTGATTCTACGATGTTCAGGCATTTGATCACCTTAAGTCAGTCCTACATTTTACAGCCTGCACTCAATCAAATTACTAGTATGGAAATATTGCTGTTACAAACTGCAGACCTTGACTCATAGGCATCAAAACCAAATAGCACTTCCCTATAAGATGCTTTGCAAAATGTGATACCATCAACTTTTAGACATCCATAAATCAAGATGAAAAATATTCTGTACTTGGGACCAGAGGCCTGCACCTTTAAAATCAATATTGGTTTCAATATAGGCAGGAGTAACCTGATAATTATGAAATGCTGAGAATTTCTAGTACTCACTTCCTTCTTGACTTTGTGTTCTGCAGCCTGTATCCGGTGATCCATCTCCTCTTCCATTTCACTGAGCTGCATTGCTGCTTTATCCTGAGCTCTAAGATTTTAACATGAATATACTCTGAGTCCTCCATTAACACCACAGAAAATTGGAGAAAAAATACATGTCCTATCCAGTTCAAACATAGATTTGCAAGTGTTGAAACATGAGCCAAATACAGCAGGTAATTATATCACAGTTTTTAGTAGTGATTGAAAGATCTGGCAATACTGACAAAAACCTATGATGTTTATACTCTATTTAGAACAAAGTGTATCATATGTTTTTACTTTAAAGTAGCTTTTAAAAGTGAAATGTGCCTCTGAAAAATTATGTAAAAAATATACCATCTATTCAGAAGAGCTAGGCCCTATATATATTGTCATATTGACTTAACTAACAAAGTTACATTTTAGTTTACTATTATCACTCAGTGAAATAACTTCTTCAGTTCCTTCTCACACATTAAATTTTGGACAATGTTCAAGATTCCATGGCAGACAAAATTTTACCATTTCATTTATTGCTATGACATCCTATTGGCAAGGTGGGATTACATAGTCAAAGAAATCATTCAAAGATTATGACTATTCATATATTTGGACTGGTATGTAAACCTGACTTGTAGCACCTTTATTGCAGCCTTTATTGGAGAACATTCAGAGAAGGGGGAAAAAAAGATTTAGGTACTAGAAAACAACCTAAGAGAAGACAAAGAAGGAACATGATAATTTTCAACTAGTTAAAAAAGTTGTTACAAGTTGTTAACCCTCTGAGATAAGAAGCAACAGGGTTAAATTGCAGCAAGGGTGGACATTAGGAAAAAAAACTTCCCCTTCGGTTGGATAAGAACTGGAATAAATTGACCAGAGAGATTGTGGGATCTCCACTGCTACAGATTTTTAAGAGCAGGTTAGACAAACACTTGTCAGGTATGGTCTAGATAAAATGTAGCCCTTCCATGAGTGCAGGGGATTGAACTAGAAGACTTCTTGACATACTTTTCAATCCTACGATTCTATGATATTAATGGAGATGATGCATAAGAAGGAAAGAAGTCAGTTTGACTCACAAAGCCAAGGCTGAATTTGCAGGACTGTCAATTAAAATAAAAGTTTCTGACATGTAAACTGAGCAAATTTAGTCAGATTCATTGAGACACAGTGACAGGGAACATCATGACGACATTTTCACAGTCATTTTTTGGATCAATTTTCACTTGACATATAAGAAATATTAATATAAAAATGTGCCAATATGATATAGTTACAAATATTATTTTACAATACCCAAACATAATACTTAAATACTGTCTTTGATGCTGTATATGCAAAAGATATTGTTTGTAAAAGTAAATGATGGAGATGAGTAGTCAAAGTCATAGTTACAGCCAAAAAGAAAAAAAAAAAAAGAAACAGCACAATTTTTAGTCATTTAAAGCTGGGAGCTTAGCCGAAGACTGTACCTTTTTACAGATATAGCCAAGCTTTCCATCTCTGTATTTTGAAGTTTGATCTCTTGGATGAAGTTCTTAATAACACATTCATAAGGCTGAATTAATCTTGGTTCCACTAAACTTATGTTCGTATACAGAACACTGGCCTGCTCTTGCCTGAAAAAACAAAACAAAACAATTAAGTATATTTCCCTAGACAAATACACTATTCCAAAATGTATTCAATATGACGATATCCTGTGCCTTCGATTTAAAAATGTAACAAATCAAATACAAATTTGAAACATTCAGCACATCATCTGCCCTTTTCTCAAGTACCCAAGTCCTTCTGGTCTCTTTACTGTGCTATACTCTCCCAGAACAGTATTTTTAAGGTGTTACATAGATCATTTAATATTATTTATGTTAATCATGTAACATGGAAGGTAAAACTGGCAAACAAAAATAGTAAATCAGGTCCATTAAGTTCACTTCTGGTAAACAGTGTATAGGAGATCACTGCTGTTGATGACTGCTACATAGGTAAAAGAGGACACCACCTCAAGGCCTAGGTCATAATAAAAGATTAAGGAATTGGGTCTCTTTTCTTGAAAAAAGAAGGCAGAGATGACTCAATGAATAACACATTAGTAAACAAGAATCAATCATTACATTTGTCATACATTTGTATAAGTTGAATTCTCAGCAGAGGCCCAGACTATAGCTTTATAGACGGTGGCCAGCATCTTTTACTTAACCTGGAAGTAAACTGTCACGGAGCAGAGAGTAAAAGTCCCTTTTATAAAGCAAATTATTTTAATTCTAATCATTTTAATCTTGGAAATGGTCTTCTGCATTTGACAAAAATACAAGTGATCTAAGATGCCATTCACATATATAATCGTCATATGAAACACAGTGGATACTTAAGGAAAACAAAAACTCGTGTGTGCGCACGCGCATGCACAGTGGCTGAAAAAATTTACAAGAAAAAAACACCACTTATAAAAACTCTACCATACTGCAGAATAAGTTCTTAAAAGCAGATTCCCTTAGTTAATTATAATACAAAAACTCCTGATAGCCACATCAAACATTTTTTATAAGAGCACATACAAAAATAACAAAACACAGAACAGTGCGAGAAAGGAGAACATTACTACAGAAGTTACTACCGAAGAATATAATAAGCTCAACAAATCCTACAACATTATCATCAGGAACTATGGTCATATAATGTTTTGTTACATGCTAGATACTTCTGTTATGTAGACTAGTATAAATCTGATTACTGATAATACGACTATGGTAGAATCTAGAGCAGTGGCAGGCAACGTACGGCCCATCAGTATTCTGTGTGACACCCACAAGACATTTTGTTTACTCTTGCCCACATGCAGGGATGCCAGATTCTGCTGATTTCCAGCCACATAATATTTTCCTTATGTATGTATCACTTTAGTAATACAAGTAAGGGGCACGCAAAGCAGGATGCGTACTGATTGCACACTAACTTTGACAGTCGCGCACCCCCTGTGTAGTCAAAGCACTATTATGGTTCAATCAGCACACCCACAAGTGGAATTAGCAAAGCTACACTATCCCAGGAGACTGTCCTGGTTATGACAATCTTGCCACTTAACCACTGAGATGGAGGAGGACCACTATGTGGCCCACTCAATAATCTAGGTTGCCCATTACTGATCTAGAGGCATCAACCATAATCAGACAGATTATGCAAGACACTATACATACAAAGATGAATCCTGTCCTGAAGAGTTTACAACCTAAATAGACTTAGAAAATGGGAAGGTGACTAGTCTTGCCCAAGGTCATTCTGTGGGGCGGCTGCAGAAAACAGAATTAAACGAAAGTCTTCCAGGTCCTAGACCAGCACCATATCTAATACTGTCATGTATAAGTTTTCTCTTTTTACAGAACAGTTTGAACTTTAAATGAAAAGTTTCTAAGGTTTTTCCTAAGATTACATACTTTACTCTTTTCCAATAAGGAAATTATACTTGAAGTTATTCACTCATGAAGAATTTCTTACAAATGCAGCATTATTTAAAATATAGCATACCAGATTTAGAGTCTCCTTAATACATTTTTCTAGAGAATGAGGATTCATGTTCTCTGTAGTTAATACTTTGTCTACGCAGCATTTCACAGTACATGCCCATAGTATAGGTTATCAATATACCTTCTCGCAGTGTCTCCCTGTGGTTTTCCACCAACAGTATGCATTATTCTATTACAAACTGCGCCATAGCTGCTACTATAGCGCATGTACCATTTTAGACAACTGCAGAGCTTATAGACAACTATAAAAAAAACTATAGGCAGAAACTTTGATGTACAAGTTGTATGTATGGCAATATATCAGGAGCACAAAGAAATACAGATATATTAATGGTCAAGGCAATTCTGTGCACCTCAAATATCTCTCTCAGAAATAATTTCCTTTTAAACAGGCTAGTACTTTATTAGGTATTTCCTTAAGCTGAAATTTCAACAATTAGTCTTTGAATATTCTCTGCCATACATGTGCAGCTGCACATTTTATAACAGATTTTAAAGTAATATCATGATTCATAGGTGATCGTAGTACTAACTGGGTTTATTCAGTCATGAGGTTTTATATATTATGCATGAATAGCCAGTAATTAAAGAACACCCTTAATGCATATTTACAGTTTCGTCAATAACCCACATTTAAAATACAGATAAGGGGCATTTTCACTTAACACTATTATAAAAGGTGACATAAAAACCAAGTATCACATGCTTAATTAATGGAAAAATTAAGGAAAACAAAAGAAATTCAAAGGCTGAAATTTCACCTTCTTATTACTTTGGTCTCAGTATCACAAGGGCCTGAAACAGAAGATAATATTGTGCATACCATGCAGTATTCCTTAGGCAAAACAAGTAGAATTTGGGATACTTCAACTGAAGTATCAATAAATTGAGGGCCTGATCCTGAAAACCTTACACAAACAGATAAGAACTAGGTATTAATTCATGTTAATATTATTATTAAAATGTCATTTTTAACTCAACAGTACTCGTCATATGCATAAGGACTAGTTTAGTTAGGATTTGCAGGATTGGGTCCCAGATAAAAGAAAATGTGTTTTTTTAATATCAAAATCCATTACTGTCAAGACTGAGGAACAGAAAAAAAAAACCCACACAAAAAACACCACACCACATCACACCAAACAAACAAACCAAACACTGGACCAGGAGGGAGGGTACATGAGGGTCTCAGAGCAGGGTGGGTGCAGGAGGGTACTTGGGGCAGGGTATCAGGGCAAGCTGGGAATGCGGGATCTTGGCAGAGGGAGAGGAGTGGGGGGGGCTGGGCATGAAGGGTGATGATTAGCTAGCTTGGCACCCTGCTGCAGCAGGGAAAGCCTGCAAGGAGCATGCTCTTGTTCCTCCAGGGGTGGGAGGAAGCTCAGTTCCCTCCCCACCCCCACTCTGATCATAGGAGCTACCCCTCCTCATTCCCTCTCCTAACACCTTCCTCTACACACCTGCCCTGCCTCTCTCCTCTGGTGTTGGTCCTTCCCCTGCAGGTGTCTGCCCTTCTGCTTCACCCCCAGAATCCTCTGGCACCTGCACCTTCCCTTACCCCTTCACCCTCCTAGTGCCCCCCTTCCCCTCTTTTTCCCTAATGCCCACTCCCTCACTACCCTCTGCCCGTTCCCCTCATGCCCTCACACATGACTTGCTCCATCCCCGCCTTCCTCATGCCCACCCCTTCTTTCAAGCCTTCTCCCAGCACTTCCCCCTCCAGCTCCCAATGCCCTTAGCCTCTCCTCTCCCAGCATAACCCTGTCTCCCCTCCCACTGACACCTCCCTTCCTGCCCTTTTCCTCATTGTCTCCACTTGGCCCCCTGGCATTGGTCTCTCCTGCACCCTGTCCCTTGGTGTCTTCCTCTTTCTTCTCCTGACCTGCCCACTCCCCTCAGCACAAGCCCCGTCCTCTCCCCCATCTTCTGCCTTCCAGTTTGTGGCACTGGAGTCTGTGATCAGGCCCCAGAAGTTCCCACAGCTCTGCCACGGCTGCTTTCAGGGCTCCCTCTTCTCCTCCAACAGCTGCCAGCCAGCCCTTCGGAGGACGCACCACGGGGAAATTCCCGGTATTCCACCAGGCCAGTCTGCCCATGCGCACTGATGTGCCGTGGAACACAGTTTAAGAAATGCTGGTCAAAAGAATCCTTCATCTCTCTAAGGTAGATACAGTCAAAATAATTTGGATCAACACTTTTGGGTCTTTGGGATGTGAATGTAAAATCTAAAGCTGAGCAAACAATTTGTACTGGAAGCTCCTTGGTTCAGCATCCTCAGGACCACCAGGGAATTTGCTGGATCAGGGGAGGTTAATGCAGCCCCTCTACAGGTGTCAGCTGCAAAACTTCACTCCAGGGCAGCAAAGGGGCCGGCAGAGATGGAGCGAGGCTAGGGGACTCAGGGGAGAAGGCAGGACGGCAACAGAGCACCGTGGCCCATGCGCTGCACTCCTAGCCACCAGCACTAGGCCCCAGCTGTGGGGCTCTATAGCCCCAAGCACCCCCTGCTTCCCCTCTCTCTCTGAGCTTTAATGCCTCAAATCAGGTCCCAGAGCATCCATGCACACCAGACCAGGGAAGTCCAGACTATATAGGTTCAACCTGTAGGGACTACATTATTCAGTGGATTAAGACTCTTCTTTTCGTTTATTGTCAATAAGACACATATTCATTGCTATGCAAAAAAATCTTGGTGCATAGATGGTCTGTGATCAGTTTATTGAGAGTATTTATTATTCAAAATTCAGATTGCTTTGGTTAGTTTTCACAGAATATATAAGTCATACGACATGTTTCTTCCTCCTCAATGGACGAGCACAGCTCTTTGGAATCAGGTTTTTGGTGCACATGTACATCAGCGTTCAAAATCTGCATTTTGCAAATACTCTATATTTGTTGATTGTTACAGTATTTACAGAAAGTAAACACACATAGCCAAAATGAATTTTTTTTTTATTTGAGCAAATGTTTGTCAAGGTTTTTTAAAACGTATTCACATACAGAGTCTCCAGCTCTGTTTGGACATGAGAGAACATTTCATCAAACCTTTCATAGGAGTAGGGAGGTTGTGCCATGTTCTTAGCAAAAAGAATAAAAATCCGTGGCAAAACAAAATGCTCAGGCTTGTCTCGCTCCAGTGAGGAACAGTACTGCCTGACTGCTTTCCCAACATTCTACTGGTGTTATGTGTGTAAAGCTAAAGGTGGGCTTTGTGTTT